AAGTGTTGTTGAGGATATATAGAAACAAACTTTTATAGGTTGATGAACATAAATTGCTACAAATACTATGAGAGTACTTTGGCAATAGCCTATGAAAATATGTATATTGTAAACCAGTATTTCCACTCATAAACACCTAACCTAAAGATATTTTTATGTAAGGCATATGTGGAAAAATATTCATACCATATTGTTTTAAATAGCAACATTCTAGCTAAACTAAATGGCTATCAACAAAAAAGAGAATTATTAAATTGAGGAGGTATATTAATACCAGAGAATATTACTCAGCAATGAAAATGAAGTAGTTATATATTTTAATATAAATTTATCTCAAACACAATATTGAGCAAAAAAGGGCAAGTTGTGGCAGAAATACATACACTGTAATATTTGCTTCAAATTTAAAAACATGCAAAATCATACCATATTGCTAAAAGATACATAATTAATAAAAATATTTTTAAAATATGGGAATGATAAATAACAAATATAATATTATGGTCACTTTTGGAGGAATGGTGGAAAAGAATAGAATATAATCCAGAAAATTACATAGAGTTTCAACCCTATTAGTAATGTTTTTATGTCTTAAGTTGAGTAAGTGGATATATAAATATTCCTTATGTTATTGTTTAGTTATCCTTTATCTTATTGATAATTCTGAAAGAGTTCATAATAAAAAAATTTTAGCTATTAAAAATAACTTACTACATATATAAGTCTATAGAAATGAGTACCTAAAACTTACATCAAAATGTTTATAATGCTAATTCAATGAAATTTTGTCATTTTTAATAATGGTGGAGAGGTATCTTAGTCTGTTAAAGCTGCTATAAAAAATGCCATAAACTAGGTAGATTATAAATAACAAAAATTTATTGCTCAAAGTTCTGGAGGCTGAAAAGTCCAAGATCAAGGTGCCAGTAGATTTAGTGTCTCTGAGGGCCTGCTTCTTTTATACAGGTAGTCTTTTCACTATAAACTCACATGGCAGAAGGGACAAGGTAGCTTCCTGGGACCTCTTTTATAAGGGCACTAATCCCATTCATTAGGCTGTGCTCTAATTATGACCTATGCTCTTCCAAAAGGCCCTGCCTCTTAATACTTTCATATTGGGGATTATCTTTCAGCATATGAATTTAGGGGAGATACAAACATTTAAACCATAGCATAGCATGGGCAAGAAAGTAAAAATGTAAATTGGTACTGATTTTATGAAACATTTGCATATGTATTTGTATATGATACATGTGCAATATGTTTCAAAAGCCTTAAGTATATTCATATTCTTTGATGTTGTGCATAACTGTTTGGATAACAGAAAAAAAATCCTATTTGGATATCAGTACTAATTTTTTTCTATAATTTATATTATTTGTATAATAAACTTTCTTAAAAGATTAAAGTTAGAATATATAAAAAAATTGACCCTTCCTGGTGAACTGAATTTTTAAAAATTTAAAAGAAAACTTCCAGATCTGTAAAGAATGATGGCGGTACTTCGATGGGGATTACATTAATCCTGTAGAAAAAACCTCGTATAGCCAAAGCAATCTAAAGTAAAAAGAACAAGCTGGGAGGCATCAGTTTTCCTGACTTCAAGCTGTACTATAAAGGAATAATAGTTAAATCAGCCTGGTACTGGCACAAGAAAAGAAGCATCGATATTTGGAATAGAACTGAGATTCCAGAGATGAAACCATCTGCATATGGTAACCTAATGTTTGATAAAGCAGATAAAAATATACAATGGGGAAAAGAATCTCTCTTCAATAAATGGTGCTGGGAAAACTGGATAGCTACATGCATAAGATTGAATCAGGATCCCTACCTCTCACCTCTCACAAAAATTCACTCAAGATGGATAACAGATTTAAACCTAAGGCATGAAACCTTAAGAATTCTAGAAGAAGATGTTGGGAAAACCCTATCAGACATTGGCCTAGGCAAAGAATTTATGAGGAAGACCCCCAAGGCAATCACTGGAGGATCAAATATAAACAAATGGGATCTGATCAAATTAAGAAGTTTCTGCACTGCCAAGGAAACTATCATTAGAGCTAATAGACAAACCACAGATTGGGAGAAAATATTTGCTCTCTACACTTCTGCTAACGGTCTAATAACAAGAATCTATCTAGAAATCAAAAGAATTAACGAGAAAAAATCAAACAACCCCATCAAGAAATGGGCAACCGAAATGAACAGAAACTTCTCCAAAGAAGACAGAATGGCCTGCAAACATATATAAAAAAAAAAATTTAACATCTATAATCATTAGAGAAATGCAAATCAAAACCACAATGAGATACCACCTAACCCCAGTGAGAATGGCCTATATCAAGAAATCCCAAAACAACAAATCCTGGCGAGTATGTGGAGAGACAGGAACACTCTTACACTGCTGGTGGGACTGCAAATTAGTGCAACCTTTGTGGAAAAGAATTTGGAGATACCTCAAACAGCTAGAGTTAGAAATACCATTTGACCCAGCAATAGCATTGTTAAGTATCTACTCAAAAAAGCATAAGACATTCTATCATAAAGACATCTGCACCCAAATGTTTATGGCAGCACAATTCACTATTGCAAGGACATGGAAACAACCCAAGTGCCCGTCAATTCATGAATGGATAATCAAAATTTGGTATATGTTCACAATGGAATATTACTCAATTCTAAGAAATGACAGTGAGCTAGCGCCACTTATATTATCCGAGATTAAGTTTAAGCCCATTATCCAAAGTGAGGTGACACAAGTTCAGGAAAATGGGCTCCACATGTACTCACCTTCAAATTGGTACAGATTGATTAAAACTATGGTGCTCAAATGGTGGTAGTGTTCACCAGGGATTCAAGGGGGGGCGAGTAGACCCACATCTTAGAGATGTGGTGAGCATTGTGGAGGGGAAGGGTATACGTCTCTAACCCTTCTTAGGGAGAGACAAAGATATGCTTAATGTAACCAAAATGTAAAAAAAACAAAAACAAAAGAACTTTTATTTGGTGGTGGGCAGGTGGGGGGGGAGGGGATGGGTGTATACTTACATAATGAGTGTGATGCGCACCACCTGGAGGATGGACACGCTTGAAGCTCTGACTCAGTGGGGGGGGGGATAAGGGCAATATATATAGCCTTAAGTATATTTGTACCCTCATAATATGATGAAATAAAAAGAATTTAAAAAAATAATAATACAAAAAAAAAAAAAAAAGGAAACCTTCCAATCCCAGGAATGCTCTTACCATAAAAATTTTGGAATGGGGGATTTTGGAGGGGAGCTTTGTATTTGCATAAGTCTCCTTTTTCATTCTTCTACTCTCAACCTTTCTGTACCGTTTTGTTTTAGATGTCTTTATTACACATAGTGCATAGCTGTATTTTGTTTAATCCAACCAATCATTGTTGTTTAACTAGTTAAAAACAGCACTTAATCTGTTCACATTTACTATAACTCAGAAACTGTATCTAGCATCTTATTTTTGATATTTGTCCCAATTGTTCTATATTTCTTTTTCTTTCCTTTCTTATCTAGTTGTGGATTGTGTAAGTAATTTTTATTTACCATTCCGTTCTCCCTTAATCAGTACACTATTGCTTATTCTTTTGGTGCTGGTATTCCATACAACATGCAAACTTATCCAAGTTTTATGTTAATCAAAATCTTTATTTTTTTCCTGAACTACACAGAACATTTGCATCCTCCTTCTAACTTACATGCTATTATGCTCTAATATTTTAATTGAATCTTTTTTCACCACTAAACTTTATTATTACTTTTTTAGACAATGTTCCTTTCTTCTTACATCTCAAACCTTTTATCTGGGATTACTTTGCTTCTTAATGAAGTACATCTGTGAGAATTTCTTTTAGTGAAGTTCTGCTCATGATAATTTCTATTTCAGTCTGATAATTTTTTTATTTCACCTGATTATATTTTTTATCTTTAAGAATCTTTTTATCAGGTATAGAATTCTAGGTTTGTGGTTATTTTCTTTTTATACTCTGATGTGTCTAGGTGTATAAGTTCAGAGAAACAATAGATGTGCAACTAGGAAAACTCAAAATGCAATAGTTCAAAATGACAAACTAGGCTGCCTATTTCAGGTTGACAGGGGTTGTGGTCCACACTGTTATTCAGAAACCCAGGTTCCTCCCATCTTGTCTCTTCGCTGTCCCATGATCAAAACTAGGTCATAGGCACATTCTTGTTTTGGTTTATAGGAAGGAGAAAGAAAATAAAGGTAGCTTGTTTATTTCTTAAGATCCCCAGCTGAAAACATTATATTTGCTCAGAAAAACAGACTCCTTTCAAAATAGACAATTCACCTAGTTATCCAAGAGCTCTGATGGTGATATTTTTATGCTTGATAATACAACATCCATTCTGAGTCCATGGATCTAAGGAGTAATTTTGACTTTCAAGTTTTATTAAGAAATGCATGTCTTAAGTTGCTATATACAGTGATTCCTCTGATGGATCTGGGCAAAGTAAATTAAAAACTTTCTAGAAAAGATTCATCATTCTAGATGCCATTAAGAACATTCATGATTCATGGGAGGAAGTCAAAATTATCAACATTAACAGGAATTTGGAAGAAGTTGATTTCAATCCTTGAAGACTTCACTAGAGGAAATAACTGCAGATGTGGTAGAAATAGTAAGAGAACCAGCATTAGAAGTGGAACCCGAAGATGTGAGTGAATTACCATAATGTCAAGAGAAAACTCGAACATGTGAGGAGTTGCTTCTCGTAGATGAGTACAGAAAGTGGTTTCTAGAGATGGAATCTACTCCTGGTGAACATGCTGTGAGCATTACTGAAATGACAACAAAAGATTCAAGAATATTTCATAAACTTAGATGATAAAGCAGCTGCAGGGTTTGAGGGGATTGACTCCAATTTTGAAAGACCTTCTATTGTGGGTAAAACGCTATCAAACAGCATTGCATGCTCCATAGAAATCTTTTATGAAAGAAGAGTCAATCGATGTGGTACACTTCATTGCTGTTTTATTTTAAGATATTGCCACAGCCACACCAACCCTCAGCTACCACCATCCTGATCGGTCACCAGCCATCCACATTAAGGAAAGACCCTTCACCTGCAAAAAGATTACAATTCACTGAAGGCTCAGATGATCATTAGCATTTTTTAACAATAAAACATTTTTAAATTATAACATGTACATGTTTAGATATAATGCTATTGCACACTTAATAGACCACAGTATAGTATAAACATAACTTTTATATGTACTGGGAAATAAAACAATTTGTGTGTCACTTTATTGTGGTGGTCTAGAACCAAACCCACAATATCTTAAAGGTATGCCTATGCATGGAGTCATATAGTATGTAAACTCAGCATAATTCCATGAAGATTTATCCAAGTTGTTAATATGTACCAATAGTTTGATCCTTTTTATTGCTGATTAGTTTTCCATGGTATGATGTATGAAAGTCTGTTAATCTATACACCCATTGAAGGACAGACATCTGGATTGTTTTGAAAACAATATAAAATGTGGTTTCTTCTACTGTACTATAATGGGTCTAAATTATGTAAAAATACCTAATACACTTAGTAAAGCATCTTACATCATGCTGTGTTGAAATGGTTAAAATGGATTTTTATGTAAAGAGTTAATACAGTTTAGTTTTTAAAATTTACAAATACACGCTCATTGTAAAAGTTCAAACAACATCAAAGTACATATCAAAGTATACTGATTAATAAGTAATTGTCAACCTTTATCCCCCAACCCTAACAACTCTCTTCTCTTCTTAAAGGTAACTGCTGTTAATAGTTTAAGTATACTTTAATTTTGGATGTGGTCAGATCTAAAAGTTTTTCAATTGATTATTTTTAATTTGGGAGGACTCATACTATCTGCTAGTGATAGTTTTGTTTTTTCTTTTCCAATATTAATATTGCTTACATTTCTTCTTTTATCATAATGTTGAAAATGAAGATAATTTTCAATTCCTGCCATTGATGTTTCTAATTTTAATATATTCATATATAGTCATGTGTCACTTAACGACAGGAATATATTCTGAGGAATGCATCATTAAGTGATTTTGTCTTTGTGCAAACATAATACAGTGTACTTACACAAATCTAGATGGTATAACTACTACACATGTAGGCTATATGCTACAGGCTATTGCTCCTAGGCTACAAACCTTTACAACATGTTACAGTATTGAATACTGTAGGTAACTGTAACCAGATGATAAGCATTTGTGTATCTAAACATATCTAAACATAGAAAAGGTACAGTAAAAATAGGATATTATAATCTTATGGGACCACCATCATATATGTAGTCCATCATTGACTGAAAAGTTGTATGTGGCACATTACTGCTTTTTAATATGATTTTCATAGTTTCCATTAGATTGATAAAATTCTTTATGACAAGATTAATGATCATTCATTTATATGAAAATTAACTGCATTTCAAAGTGGTTTTAAATATGCCCTACTTCAGTCTGATATATTAAGATTACAAGGCATCTTAAAATATCAAGAAACTGGGACTAATGAGGTAGATTAAATCTTAATTCTGACCTATTAAATATATAAGCTTTACCGACCTTTATGTAAGGTGTATATATGATTTTTCCTGGAAACAGGAATGGTGTACCTTTTAGTATTAAAAAAATAATAAAAACTGCTTTCTGACTAGTATGCTAAAGGCAGGCCTATTTAAAGTAAATTTCTGAGACCAATAAACTAGCATACGTGCACTCGTAAACTCTGAAGCTAGTATATATGATAGTGTCTGGCACAATAAATTCAGTCCTTTGGGTAAATACCATACTTTAGCATCCTCTGCCTGCTCCTGGCCCTCTCTACCCTCTTCCTAGAAAATAATCATTAATCTGATTCCATATTGGGGTATGTTTGTACATAAATATGTACATACCCCAATGGGCGTGGGATCCTCCCTTCTTTTCTGTAATGCTGGAATTGGTATGAAGGCATGATTAAAAGGAGTAGAAGGAATATCCTTTGATTCTTCCACTTGTCCTATGTGTTAAACTACCTCTGAAACCTAATGAGGCAGAATTTACACATTTCTGAGTATTGGTTAAAGATAATACTGGTCAAAGACTGGGAAGAACCCTAGTATCAACTTCTAAAATCTGGTATAGGCTAGAGTGTGAAGCTGGGCATTATTTGGAATGGAAAATTAAACAGCCATGAATTTTTTATCTAGTCAGGAGCTGGAATTTATCAATAGTCTCTTACAACTGATTTCAAGAAAAGGATTTCTTTAGACCTGGTATACTTTTATAAAAAATAAATAACAAGGGAGCAGCCACTCAGAGGTGGGGTCAGGGACCTTACTACCCTGACCATACTACCCTCTGGTTAGCCACATGGCAAGTCTCACTCAAGAAAAAGAAAGTTGGCTGTATCAATGCAATCCTTTTTAAAGTGTGTCTCTGCCACAAGTTAACATGGCTTAATTAGTTTAGAAATTTGACTGATTATGATAATTTAGCCTCTTCTTTGGGAAAAGCAAGAATGAATCTTCTCTTCCAAGAGGTAGAGTCACTCTTCTGCTTTATCATAAACTTGGGTCCTAGCTATCATTGGATTAGTCAATGTGAAATAAAAGTGTGAGGAAATCATGCGGGTGGGAGGGTGAGGAGGGGATGGGTGAAATCATACCTAATGGGTACAATGTACACTATCTGGGTGATGGACACACTTACAACTTTGACCCAAGCAGTACAAAAGCAATCCATGTAACTAAAACATTTGTACCCCTGTAACATTCTGAAATTTTTTAAAAAGTGGAAATGACAATAAATATATCCTAATTCTAAGGGAAAAAAAGAAAAAGAAATTAAAGTGTGAGATGGAAGAGGCCAGGGGCAAAGGAAATCTATTAGCTCTTTTCACTCCACCCTCTTTGTTCTTCCTGAGTTGATTTTAGGGTAGGGGAGCTGCCTAATTCACATATTCCACTTTAGTTTATCTGGGAACTCTAGCTCTGTATTTGGAATTTCAGATATATAATAATCTAATAATAAAATGAATTTGGATTTCCCACTTGCAGTTGTCTGTTGTATGTATATTCTCTTTCAGGAACCTTATCAGGATGGGTACCTTAGCCAAGGCAAGATTTAGGCATCTGGGTCTCTTGAGCCAACATCTAAACATCAGGTGTCCAATAAACACTAATTATTATCAGATAATGATCAAATATGGTATGTGCCAAAGACAGAAATTAGTGTAAAATCAGTTTGGAACCCAGTGCTGCCAAGGCAAGTTGAAATCTGACTGATCAAAAAACATATTTCATTCACTTTTTTTCATTCCTTTTGCCTTCTGCCTGTAGGCAGAAGTGGCTCACCAGTGTTTTCCTGTGAAAAGAATATGAAAAAAAATTGACATAAATGTTACATTAAAATACTTTCCATTTTATGAAGAAAGCAATGATATCACAACTATTTCTGAGTATGTATTTTTTCATTTCAAATGAATATAACATTATCTACTCAAATAAAAATTATAAATGGATTTTTAAGCTAATGAATCATGAAATAGTTTGTCTAGTTACAAGTGAACCAAATGGTCATATTTATTTTAACACCTGGAAAAAGTCAGGATATGCACAGCTGGCTGTTAGCTTGTCACACATTCCTAAGTTTACAATTACTACTAGTGTTCTCAAACCAAGTCCACTGACAAACAGTTGCAGGTGGCCAAGATATTTTTGTGTAGAAACAGCTTTACTCAGCAAAATCTAGTAATGTATCAATAACAGCATTTACTTTTGGAAATATCAGTATTTAAGAATGGTAATTTCTAAATATTTTCTTAAAATAATTTAAAGCATGCTTAGGACTGCTATAAGAAATTTACAAACACCACTCAAATTTTGGAAAAAAAAAAAACCCAATAAATAAAAAAACCACTTAAGAATGATGGCAAAGAACAAGTTGATCTGTTAAATACAGACTATTTAGAATATTTCTAATGAAGGAAATACCCACATCCTCATATAATAAAAGTTGGCTATCTAACTCATTCTCTAGAGCACTATTTCTATAGGAAATGCAGCTAGTATCCCAGAGGAGGAGAAAACATATATAATTTTATACAATAATCATTTTCAGCTTTTTAGATTACATAAAAAAATAAATTTCCAAACTAAATTGAAATTTTATTTTATATAATTAGTGTTTAAAAATTTATTAAAATTAGGTAGAAAACAATATTTATAAAGTATATAACATGTAAAGAATAACAAAAAATGAAATTTACATATCACCACCCAGTTTGAAAGAAAAAAATGACATTGTCATTTGTACCCCTTCCCAAACTTATTTCCTTCCCCCCTATCCCTCAGAGGTAACCACTTTCATCAATTTTGTGAATTTCACTTTTAGATTTTCTTTAGGGTTGTACCGCATAAGGTTGCATCCCTACTCAACTTATGATTTACTTTTGAGCATTCTGCAATTTATATTAATGAAATAATACAGTACAGTATATTAAGTATTCTTTGACTTTTATTTTGTTCAACATGGTATTGCTGAGATTCATCCAAATTTTATGATGCAGATGTAATTCATGCATTTTTATTGCTATATAGCATTCCATGATATAAAAGTATCACAATATATTTATCCATTCTACTATTGATGGACATTTAGCTTATTTCCAGTTTTTGTTATTACCCAGTGCTACTACAACAATTTTGCACAACTCTTCTTGTACACCTATGCAAGAGTGCATATATAGGTGTGGAATGTTGGCATCTTCAATATTGAATATATAGATAAACATTACATATATATGTGTATATATGTGTATATTTATATATACACATATATATGTCATAATCATATGTAATTATGTTACTATATTATATCAAATTATTTTCTGATGTGCTTTTTACCAGTTTATACTCTCGCCAGCAGTATTAAATGTTCTAATGGCTCCATATTCTTGTCAACACTTGCTATTCTCAGACTTTTAAATTCAAGCCAACCTGATAGGTTTACTCATGGTTTTAATTTGCACTTCTCTGATTCCAATGGGGTTGAGTATCTTTTAGATTGTTTATTGGCCACATCA